TTTTTTATATTGTACTCCAAAAATATTACAAGGATTAATAAGACTTGAGCTATTGTACTTGCTAGGATGGTAACTAAAACCAATACCAATAATAGGACTAAGATGTTAGTTGATGTAATATAAAAATCTATTGTATTGATTAAAAAGAGTCATCTTTCTTCTATCTTGTCTTTCTTATATCACCTATATAAGGTATGAGGTTTATTAACCTTCTACAAAGAAGGTGAATAGATAGAAGAAGAAATGTTATAGATTCTTTAAGCTACAAAACTAAAAGATGAATAAGAAGAACAAGAGGAAGAATAAGAAGATAAGTTATTTGACAACATTTAAAAAATTGATAGGATAAGCATTAATAGCATGCTATTCAAACCACTTTTTAAGTGAACAAATATTGGACCATTATCTTTCTTGAATCAAAGAAAGAATGGAAAGCTAGATAAGATGCTTCTAACTACTGATGACCATTACAAATTCTTTTGCAATGAGAGAAGTGGTTTAGACAACATTAAAAAAAGGTGTAATTACTTGGTTATTGTACTAGGCAAGGTAGCATTCTTCATAGATAGTCTAGAGAATTTCTTTCAGCTTCTTTCAATTATTGTGAAGGCCCTTGCCAAAGAAAATAAGGTAGATACTGTATAAGGAAGGTAGTTTGTTTAGCTTAAGAGCTTTGCTACACTAGTACATTATCCAATACTCAGATTTTCATATAAATATGCTGTAAAAAATTGACTCAAGATTCTTAACCAAAGCAAAGATGTAGAATCATTTTATTAAGATGTAATAGGATTCAATTATTTTTAGAATGATAAATACATATGCTAGGTTTTTTATTAAGATAACAATAGTACAAAATATAATGCGCACCATGTATGAAGATACTATGAATAAAATTTTGATGTTAGAAATAAAAAAAAACATATCATTTGATAATGAAATATAAGCGATACTAAAATTTTTTTTTTTTTTGAAGAAGAAGAAGAAGAGAGCAACAATCAATTGACTAAATATATAAAGAAAGAAAAAAAAATCTATAGCCAAATATAAGATAAATTCCATCTAGCTAATTGGTAAAAAATGGATCTTTGCTTGATAAAACATATAACTAAAGTTTACTTCACTCTTTGTTACAAATATAGTGGATACTTGTAAGCTACCTAAATAAGATGAATTAAATAGAAGTAAATAAAAGTAGGTAAATTTGATAATATCTTATGGAGAAGCTTCTTAGAAGCTATATAGATGTAAATTTGACTTTTTATATGTTTATAGGTGATTGGTGGATAAAAAACAAACAAATTAGGCACGTGTTGCACATGTTGGCAATATGTGGTACAAGTTGGCCATATAGCACACATGTAAGAAACTTATCTCATAAGTTAGACATGTTTTGGAAGTCTTATAGAATGTTGCCACATATATCCTAGTTTGATAGTATATATAGAGGCAAGAGTGAAGGCTTCTTCACTCTTGTTAATGCCTTATTTGTTCTTAACCTTGTTTCAAGAGTTTTTAATCTTCTTGTCTTTGATAATAGTAATTATTTTTTTAATATTATACTATCTTTGAATAAAAATTTTATTTTTTAGTGATATAAGAATATATTTACTTTTTTTATTAAAAAAATTATTTTATACTATTTTTAAAAATAATTATAAGTGAAGAAATAAGTAATTTTTTTATATAGTATTTATCAATATTATGGATTTTTAAGTAATATTATATCTAATTTTGGACTTAAATTTATATTCAATTTTTTTTAAAATATTTTTTTAACATATTACAAGCTGATTTCATTATTTTCTGATTATAATTATTATCTATAATTTTATTTTTATTTTTATTTTTAAAAATATGAAAATCTAAAAATAAAAGATATCACAAGTAGAATGAAAGAGCTTTATATAACAATAAAGTTATAATTAAAGAAGGCTAAAAAATAATAAAAAAATTAATATCAATATTTTTAGAAAAAAAACCTTTAAATAAAGTTGATGATAAGATATGGTTACTTTGTTATAATATCAAGGCCAACTAAGCTTATGACAAATTGGATTATCTAAGGCTTGGCTCATTTGTTTTTATTATTTTTTATTTAGCTATATATTAATTATAATTATAACTATTAATAAAGATCTTTCATATATTTTATGTATCTCTTATTGAATTTACAAAATAATTAACATATTGAAAAGAAAGCAACTGCCACCACCTCATCTTGAAATAAATAACAACTAAAAATTTGAAGTAGAAGAGAATTTTTATTTAAGGCACTGCCAAAAAAATTGAATTATCTTTTATATTAATGTGGATATGATATTAGTTAATGCACATAGAAGCTATATGAGAATCTAGCAAATTTATCAAAAAATATCTTTGCATTTTATTGATGACATCCATTGATATCTTTCTTATTAATATCTTATTGAAAATCTTCTTAGAAGCTTTGTAGACTTTATACATTTTTATAAGTGCTTAATAAATTGACAATTTGGCCAATAAATTAATTGTATGTTATATATTTAGTCATTTATATTACAAGTTGGTCATGTGGCACCCATGTCAAAAACTCCCTCTACAAATTAGATACATGTCTTGTAATTTGGACATGTATTATATGGCATGTAGGACATTGCTACATAGTTCTTTAATAGATATTATATATAGAGGCAAGAATAAGGCCTTTTTCACTCTTCTTAACATCTTTTAGATACTTGATCTTGATTCAAGACTTCATAGTTCTTTTATAGTTGTCAATATCCATTCAAGTTTTAATTCTAAATCTATTTTTTAGTTATTTACTTTCTTTGTTTTGATGATATAAGAGTGTAATGTCATTTTTAGAATTTTTTGTGATTCATGTTCTTAACAATAGAAGTCTAAGAAAAATATAAAAACTCTCATAAGACTATAAAGGATTTAGAGGTTCTAAATGTGTAAAAATATTTTAAAAGATGGTTGAGGTAGTAGAAGATTTAGTAAATTCTTACAACATTTTAATTTTTTCTTGAGGTTAGAATTTGTTTTTTATTTTTGTAATAATTTTTTTATAATTATTATATATTTTATATTTTATTATTTTTTAACTTTATTTTTTAAAGATATATATTTTTTAAATCAATATTTTTTATTATTTTTATTTTAATTAGATTTTAATAATACCTTAATTTATTTTTTAAATTCACATTATTTACTTTTTAAATCAAATTTACACTAATATCTATGACATCTAAAAGACTATAAAGGTACAAAAAATTATCTTTGTAGAAACCTTAGATAACTTAAGATAATTAATTTTAATTTACTAAAATATTTTTTGATATAGAATATATGAATAAATTTGGTCAATTGATTAAAATAAATTCAAAATTATTTTTTTAAGATATGAATTTAGATTTTCTTATACAAAATAATAACTATTTTATTTTTCTTATAAATGGGGCAACTACTTAAATGTGTGAGATTTTAAAGAATAACATATTCTTATAGTTTTTATATTATATTTAATTACAACAAAGACCTACATTTTGATTGTAACTTTAGTCTACAAGCCTTCTTAATTCAAATATTATACATGATACAAATTTGATTTTTAATATTTATAATATTTATTATCTTAAATCTATTATAAAATACAAACAATTCTTGCTTATATAGATTTCTATCTATTGAATTTAGTATATATACATTGTTGATTAATTTTTTTCAAGTATACAAGTAATAAGAAGCAAAAAGAAATATAAGAAGCTAGTAAAAATGGAAGTAGTAGTAAAAAAAAAAAAAAAAAAAAAAAAATATACCTTGTGATGAGCAAGGAAAGAAACAAACAAAGAAAGAGAGATCACTTTGGAATAACTAGCAAAAGGAAAATATAAAGTAGATGAAGAGGAGTCTTACAAAGACCTCAGGAATTTCTTACAACAAATAAGAAAATAATAAACAGAGACAAAATAAACATCTTCTTGTGAATAATGTGAAAATAACATATACCACTAACCATGTAACAAAAATAGCAAAGAAACCAACAACTTTAGAACTATGATGGTTAAAACATTAAAAATTAAAATCAAAACAAAAAGAAACAACGACCATACAAATAATGGTAAACAAGAGCAAAACAAAAAGGATGTAGAGCAACGAAAGTATAGTAGTGAGATTAAAATATCAAGGCCGCAATATTTAGAGATTCAAATTTATAAGCTTGTCTTATCAATAAATGGTAAAATATAATAGATTAAATAAAAGAAAAAAGAAAAAGATATAGGATTAGATCTAAGACACTCAAAGAAGGCTTTTAAGAAGTTTAATTGAATTGATTCAATCAAATCTATATTTTAATATAAATTTGTAGTTTAATACAAATCCACTCTTTAGTATTTACCAAAATGAAATCGACATTTTACAAAGAGATCAACTAAAAACATTATGACAAATCTAGGCTAATTTTTTTTTAAAAATATCAAATCTTTTTTCAAGAAAACATGTCCATGAATTATCATTATTTATTCTCAAAGCATAAGTCAAATGGGTACTTTAATTATAAGCCAAATAATTAAAGAACACATCCAAATAAAGGAGAATAATAGTTTTTGGCAAAATAGAATTATCATATAAGTAAATTATTATTATTCTTATGATTATTATTTGGTAGTAAGTTGGACAAAATTAAATTATTTTTTTGGTTTGTGGATTTGAACTAAAAAAAATGCATTTGTATAGAAGCATACAAGCAGCTTCAACTGGTTTGATTTGATTCATGATTTGGAAAGCTGATACTCATGATCTACTATGCTTGTTCCATGGAATAACATTGGAAGAAACAGTTTTCGATGATAACTAAAATGGTACGACTTAAATGGTGGGAGTTCATCTATCCACAATTTTATTTCTTTGAGATTTTAGAAGATATGATTCAACAAAAAGGAAAAAGAAAAAAAGAAGATTCGCCCTCGAAATCAGGGATTGAAATTGATTATTTGTCAAAAAAACGCAGTGCAAAAATTCATCACATGTCAGTTGATATTTCAAGGGTAGGACTTGATTGAATAGAAACAACCAGACCTGGATGTCATTTGAGATTGACGTGCAACTTCTCCATTGCTACTTGCACGATATGTTTAATCTTTTCCCCTCCTTCAGTCATTTCAATGGTGTACGTGAAGCTCACCTTTAGTAAGCAAATAACAACGAAAATGCCCAAGCTCATGGTGCATGGCGAACTCACTTGCAAATAGAATCCTAAGTAGCACCAGAAACAAGCATTTTTTCTTGACAGAATCCTAGCCAAAAATCTACATTTACATAGGGACCTTCGACTGTACACTTACAGGAAAACCATTTTTCATGGGCAAGGTGAGATTCAAGTCATACTCAGGAGTAAAACCTTTCTGAGAAGAAAACCTGAACCTCTGCAACAAAACCGCGACTACCATCTTTATTTGCATCAAGGCCAACTCCCTCCCCAAGCACATGCGCGGACCAGCCTGAGATTACACAGCAACAAACAGTTTCCCACATGAATGAATCATTACTATAATTATCCGTATCAAAAAAGAAGGCATTTCCACATGCTTGGTTACCTCCCTTGCTACCCATTGAAGCATAAAAATATCACTGGTTATGGCATCTTCAGAAAGAAGAAAAGGTGTCATACAAGTAGCAAAATTGTCACCCACACAATCTCCAATTACCTGAAAGACAGCATGCTTGTAGGGGCTCTCTTGCACAAAGACGCCATCCTTGAGCCATCGCTCAGGCTTGAATTTCATGCAATCTGGTCCCCAAATTCGCTCCATTCGTCCCATGGCGTAAGGATGATATATGATTGTTGAATTTGGATCAATTCTCGTCCCATCCGGCCACTCATCAGAACTATGCGCCAGCTTCATTTCAATCGGCACTGGTGGGTAGAGTCGCAAAGATTCACTCACTGCTGCATGCAAGTAGTGCATTTTCTTGAGCTCCTCAAATGAGAAAAAACTAGTTGGAACATGTTTGTTATGATCCTTGTCTTCAACTAAACGATTCTTCAGGATTTCAGATACTTCCTTGCAAATTGCATCCTCAACCTGGCGATGATGCTCGAGGTTCCAAAAGAACCAAGTGAGACTTGAGGTGGAAGTGTCGCGTCCAGCAAGGATAAAACTTATCACAATATCACGGAGAAACTCATCAGAATAGCCAAGTTGTGGACCTTCATTCTGATCACAAGAAGGGTCTTGAGTGTCAAAATCCCTCCTGTCCTGGTCTGCAGCAGTGAGGCCCATGAATCTCGACAGCAAATCCAGATGTGCAGCATCATCAGCATCGGAGCTATTGTCAGTTTGGCGATTGGATTGCCCAGCAACTTGCTTCCTGCGGTTTTGAATGACAAACATTGCAAAGTCATCGATATCAGCAACTGCTGCTCTGAGCTTCTTCTCAGAGCCGACATTGAGAGCGCGCATTGTCTTCCAAACGGACGCGAAGGTGATAAATCGGTTGGCGGTGATCGAGGTCGCTGTGTCGAAAGCATTGGCAAACCTCACTGAAGGAAAACACAAATCCAGGCATGCAGGATCCACACCAAAGCCAAGCTTACAAATTGTGTCAAAAGTGAACCGGGCAAGGAGGTCTTGTAAATCGACAGTCCTACCCGTGTTGCAACACTCCTGAAGAACTGGGATGAAGCGCCCACGCAGCTCATCGTGCACCGCACCCACCATGAAGTTCTTCAATGACTGGGTCGTGAATTCATGGCTCGCAACTTTGCGTTGCAGCTTCCAACTCTTCCCATCAATATTGAAGATACCATTTCCCAGCAAATCATGCAGATTCGCGTAGGAATTCTCACCCTTCGGATAATTCTCAAAATTGGTCTTCAAAATGTGCTCCACATTCGCGGGATTTGCTGTGATGTGAAACTGCCTGCCCCCCGGACGCACGGTCCGAACGGTCATGGTTGGCGAGTCCCGTATCAAATCCACCATCCAGTCTAAGATACGACTTTTGTTGTGCAGTAGAGATAAGTAGCTACCAAGCAAGGGGTAAACCTTCGGACCCCTGTTTTTGCCATATTTGGGGTGGTGGTACCAAATGCACCACAGAGTCACCACCAAGAGTATACCGGCGGTGTAGAGCAAGGTAACCAATTCTCTGTCCATCATGGCAAATTCCTCGTGTATGAGACAATTCGTCAATAAGCTTGTGAGCATTTCTAAACTTGACTAATGTGGCCGCTAGAACCATCACTACAAGATGCATACTAGCAACTAGACGTCTAGAATTGTAGCCCGAAGTAAGATGATTGCAGGAAGACTCTGATAAATCCAAAGCTTTCGAGGTCGTTCATCATGAAAAATTGGAAGAAGTACAATACAATTGAGGTGGGATACAGTGAATGGAGGCCAGTATGGGTATTTCACAACCCAAAGAGAAAACCGTAGAACGACCTGCTCTAGCAACAACGACCACAGGTTTACGACTTGAGAAGTTCACCGAAGAAGAGTAAAGGATTAGAACAGCCGAAGATGAGCATCCCAAAGCCGACATGTATAGTAGACACGGAACAGAAGTCTCACAAACTCATTCACAGTGGATGATACGTCGCCTTGGATTCTCCGTAACTCACCGAACACCCAACCCCAAGTAAAGTAAATCCAAATCGCACCTGCTGAAAAGGAATAAAATAAACTCTATTACAGGACATAGCAAACTAATTTTGCGGGTAAATGTGCACACCTAAGCTCTCTCTGTTCCATCCAAGTACCGCTTGCACACAAGAAGACTATGTAAGAGTCAGTAATCACGAACCCTACAAAGGAGCTGATGTCATGCTTCGGTGCATTCTTCCAATAGGTGCCGAGGATTGAGTGTGGTTGAGTGCAGTTGGAACGGGAGTGCGACTGATTGCAGTGATGGCTGGAGATTGAACTGACCTGATTTAGGGTTTGTCACTTCCTCTTTCAAACCCACTTTCTTCGCTGTTTGACAAGCTCCACATCACTAACAGTACACTTCTGAAATGTACAGTTCAACTTGGTTCTTACACACAATCTATGGTACATGTGTCTCATGCGTGAGTTCATAAATTTAATCCTACCATTGTCTAAGTCCACTGCCGAATTTTGGGAACTTCTAAGGTATTCGCTAAGTTGGGCTCAAATTTGAAAACTAGGAGGTTTCCTGGCGCGCCTTTAACCTCGAGGTTGGTGGATCTTCCGCCTTGCAGCGACTCTTCGGTTATGAATCAGCCGCTTTTGTCGTCCAAAGTGAATGGGACCCATGCCCATCCACAAAAGGTACACAAAAGGAACACAAAGGTACAAAACAAAGGTGGATGAGGAAAATTTAACACCTCTTTATCAGTACCCAATAGCTAAATAGCGAAGGTTCGACACGGCTAAAGGGCTAAGCAAATATACCTTCAGGTTTTCCGAGGCAACTTTTAGTCCTCCGTCAATGCTTGGAGCCGGGAGAAACTCAATTTTCCTTATCCTCAACGTGTTTCAAGTTTGCTTTTGCTCTTGCTTTTCCTTACCCCTACTTATTGAAGTACACCGCTACCTGGAACATTTTTCCATGAATTATGTAGGTCCGCATTGTAGGATCAAGGAAGTTTGCTGAACGTCTAATTGTTGAGTCTGTGTCTGTGTTGCACACTGCTTTCTACACTCCTCGTAAGACACTATTACTTCCTGTAGTACTTGCGGAGGATCATTCGACATTGCTAGGGCATCTTCTCCGCTTATTCCCCACATCCCTTCGTCTTTTCGGTGATCACCCAGACTTGGCTTTGAGGGGCTCTGAAAACTCGGAGTCTCGAAGTCTGGTTTTCTCGTGGCAGGTCTGTGACAAGAAGAAAACAGAACCTGGTCAAGGCTGATGCTTATCGATGGAGGCTGTTAACATCATCAGTCACAAGAGTTGAGACAAGGTTATGTGGAAGGAAGGATAAGACACGAGACTTGTGTGTGAGAGAGTATGGGTGGGAGGGATTCGAGTGGGGTATGCTGCAGCATCAGTCAAAGCTGACGGTGTGATATATTAGCGAGGTGAGCAACAGGGAAGCAGACTCAACGGCTGTCGACGTCGATGAAGCTCCGGAGTTGGGGATCCACCTTCTCTCTGAGCTCACATGGCCCCTGAACAAACGCTTCGCATCGTGCACAACACAGTGAATGCATTGTCTGTGTTTCCAAAAACAGGTGAATGACTACAAAACTAACACACATACACACATTCAAAAGAAAAGAAATGAAGATTCAAAAAAAAAAAAAAAAAAACTAACTAACTAACAAACAAACAAATAAACAAAGAAGGCATCCAAATGATTATATATATATATATATATATATATATATACGGAAATGTGAAAATCACCCACCTATTTACTAAATTGACTTGCCCTATAATATCTATCATTAGAAAAATGGATCAACATTATAATCATAGCCCTCATCCCAACCCCCCTTGTTTCCAGCCCATGTTCCTTGTGTTGTCAACCTTCTTCATCCCAACCCCCAATTCCCCTATTTCCAACTTTCATTTTGACCTCCCTTCTTCTCTCTCATTTTCCACAATAAGGTGGGTTGATTTAGTAAATGGGTGGATCATTTTAATACTTTTTCATATATATATATATATGACAAGATTGAAATTGACTAACATAAAAAAGTTTAAAATGAAAGTGTATTGATTCAATCAAGATGTAAATTATTTAAGATTTACAATTGAAGAGCAATATGAACCATTAGCTTAAAACTTGGAATTTTTTGACTAAGTATAAAAAATTATAAAAGAATTTTAAAAAGTTTCATTCATTATATATTAATAGATTGTAGAAGAATCTGTAAATCTAAATTACATAATATTTTGTAAAAAGAATCTATACTTTGTAGAAAGTATTGTCTTCTATTGATATACTTCTTTAATTTTGATAAGGTTGCAACCATTCCTGAGGTCAAAATTGTTAAAACCTTTAAATATCCAAATTGTTATAATAGTCCTAAAATTAGTAGTAATTAATAAATATAAATTATTAAAAAAAAATTGATAACCTTTATAGAATTTTAACAATCAATCCATTTTCTTAAAAAATAAAATTACTAGTTTTTTTTTAATTATTTTGAATGTCGAATGAATGCAGTTGCTCCTTTAAATATATAGAAAAAAAAAAAAAAAAAAAAAAAATCAATCTCGTGATACTTTTAAATTAGTTTGTAATAACTTGTATACTAGTCCAAATAGATGTTGCACTCCTCATAGTTAAATTATACAACCACCTTTGATAAATGTGTATGGATTTATTCTCGTTTTTATTTATTTATTAAATAAAACTCTAAAATATTATCTTTTTAAAAGTATTTACATCATAATCTTCTTAGTTGAAGTCTATAATAGTATACAATAGATTATAAATATTTAAATTTTTTTTACCTTATTTCTAAATACTTTAACATCCATAAATTTAAGATTTATATTTTAATATTTATTTTTTTTATTTTATATCTTTGAATTTTAATTTTTAGTTATTTTGCCATGACCAATATATTATTGGACTTATATAACTCAAACCATATAAGTTTAAAAATTACAAGATTAAGAAAATTTGATTTTATGAATATATTAGAATAATAAAAAAAGATATTAGTTTGAAATTTTGTTTTTTTATGAAAAAAACTAAAAGACTTTTAATTCAAATGATCTTACATGGTTTTATGAATGCATCAATAAAAACCTATAAGAAGCTAAGGACTCTTTTTTACAATATATTTTATTGCATTATATCAATTGTTATATTTTTTAACAATCAAAATTATTAAATATAATTTTCTAATCCAATTTTTTTATTATTATTAAAAGTTAAAAGTAAATTACATTTATATTTAAGTAAGTGCATATTTTGATCTAATTTATATATAATTATAATTATTTTTGTTGCAATTTAATATTATCATAATAAATTGAGACACCTCATTCTAATAGAAGGGTATGAGAAGTTCTCAACTTGTACAAAGCCATCATGGAACCTATTCTACACAAGCTTTACAATATTTCATAATAAATGCAATGTACAAATGCTTTTTGAAGACTCCAATTTCGATAGACTGAGCTGCAAGAAATTAATAATATATTTTACTTATTATTGGTAATTGCAAGTTAATTGCAAGATAGTGGTTGTAAACTTACATGTAATCCATCATTGAAGTTAAGGCGAGGTTGATAAATGATTATTAAATTATATTCCATCCTTTTAAAGAGCTTGAATTTTGATTATACAATATGCCCAATTCTTATAATTGTAAAGACATCTAGAGTTTATTTGCAATTTTTAAGGCTATGCCACATATGTAATATGCTTGTGAAAAATCACCACTAGTTTGAACTGCCTCTCTTACCTCAACAAAATTATGATACAATTGATTTTAACATAGTATTTGTGATCTTTAGATAAAAAACTCTTTTTCAAGTATTTTTAAGGATGTCTCTAACTTTTTGATTACATGTGTTATGATGGGAATTATAACATTCTGAATTATGTGACATGTAAACAAACCAAAAAGTTTGAAAATTGCATAATGAAAGTTATTGCCTAAAAGATTTCAAAAAAATTCAAAGACCTAAAATAGATTTGTGCCAAGGATGATTTTCCATGGATGCTACTAGTTTTTGTTAAGTATAAGTTGCACTTGCAACTTTGAAAGATGTTGCAATAATAAAGGGCATAAGACATCTAGAGTTCCTTATGGATGTGGAAATTAATTGCAGAAGCAGTTGTATATTGATAAATAAAATAAAATAAAGCCATTAAAATACAATAGTTGAAAGTGGTGTATATATACAAGTTTCTAATTCTACGTATGGTTACTATAATCACTGAAATCAATCAAAATTAGGTTATTTGTAATGGATGAAAGTCATCAAAGATAAGTTGATTTCAACACCACTTTTCAAGTCTTGATTGTAATAATCTTGCTTTGAATGCATATGGTGCAAACTGCATTTTATTATACATATAATTTGATATATTCTCAAGCAATTGAGTACATGGTTAATAGTAAGGAATTTCATTTAGATGATGATATTAAAAAAAAAAAAAAAAAAAAAAAAAAACACGTGAAATAATCTCTTGGGATCAATCTTAGAAGAATGCATTGCTATGAAAAATTGATAATTTTTAGTCTTTTTTGTTGTCTATTTATTATTGAATTTTAACTTTCTTTTGTATTGATAGAATAGTAACCAATTTTGTCTCATTTGAAGGTCAGCACCATGCTATTAGCTTTACATTTGGTTATAATACTGTTGAAGCAAATTATTGTTGGTTTACTTGACTTGGTTGAATTGGAGATGTTATGTTGTAAGTAAAAGAATTGCATGCAAATTGAATTGATAAGAAGAGAAGAAGAAGATGTAGGTATATGGATATTGTAGTGACAATTACTTTAGTAAAAACAGGGTTTTGGCAAACAATCAAATAATTGGAGAGAGTGTTAAGGTAATGCCAAATAAATAATATACTATCAAAAGAGGGTTTTGGCTAAGGATTTATATGGAGTGGAAATAATGTAAGAAGAGGTAAAAAAAAATTCTTAGATGTTGAATTTTAGAGTTTTAAAAATTATAAAGAAGCTTTGGCTTATGAGAAAGGTAGATTATAATTAGGCAAAGAAAAATGAAATATTAGTAAGGCCAAATTTTAACTTGTGAAGCTTGTATTTATTTATAGGCAAGTTTATTGTAAATATATTAAAGGATTCAATATTTATCAAAATATTATTTTATTTTATTTTTTTAGATTCTACCTTCTATTTCACGAAGTAATGATATACTTTGATATGTTTAGTTCTAGTATGAAATACAAGGTTTTTACTAATTTGATGGTTGATTGATTATCACAATAAATAGTTAAGGTATTAAGCTTTAAAATTTCTTAAATGTGTTTGTTGGTAGTAACTAAAGAAAGAGGATGGGTTCAAGGTTGTAGCACATTTATTTCCTAACACAACTTATCCAAAAAACTTTGGAGGCTCCAATTAATAGGCTCATGTATTTGGATTCTATAGTAGATTTAGTGATTATTTTTTGTTGTTTACTTTGCCAAGTTATTATGGCTTTGGATGTCCATAAACATTATCTACTTATAGATCTTTTGGTTTTCAAGCAAATAGCCTAGTTGGCATTTATATGACCTTTGATATTGTATTATTAGCTAGACTTAAATGAAAGGCCATAATCAACTATCTTTTCAACATAACATAAGTTATAATAGATTATTTTGAGATATGATCATTAGAGATAATACATGAAGTAAGATATTGAAATAATTATATAAGCAAGGTCTAGAGGAATATTAATTAGAAAAATTAATTTATCAAATTTTTAATATTG